CCCAGCCCTGGGAAGCTCAAGGGAAGAAGACACTTAAATGTTGGGTCCAGGAGAAAAGGATTCCAACTTGGGCGCTGGGGGTCTCTGAGTCATTCACAAAATGTTGAGTTGAGGTGAGGATGTGTTTCAGGCAAAAGGGTGCATAGCACCTCCCCTCAGATTCTCGGAGAGGTGTTTCATGCCTGAAAGGGGAGAAAACAGGAGCCTAGAGCATCAAACTCCAAAGGTCTTCAGAGCTGGCGTCGGCTCTAGGGCATCAGTGTGAATTTCCAACTGAGTCTTGTCTTTATCACTCCCATCACCAAGTTTCAAGGCTTTTTAAAAAAATAATAATAAGAGTGGGGATATATTCCAAGTAACTTTTCCAGAAAAGTAGAATTCATCCAATTGTTTAAACACCAGCAGCGCAAAGGATTGGTTTGTTGCCTGGCACCAAGAAGGCAACTGTGCGTGTTTGTTGAATGAATCCATAAATGATGGAATGAACAAATGCTGCTTCACAGTCGGGGCAATGGAATCAACAGTAAATCCAAAGCCCCCAGCTGAGGCTATGCAGTTGTAGTGATGAGGGAAACGAATGGGTAAGTGATCCCAGAATGTGAGTTGGTAAGTGGCTGGCCACAATTCTCCAAGCCCAAATTTAAGACTAATTAAAAGATAACTGAACGTGATCGTAGAGATTAATTGACACTAGACAGAACTATTGATTTCTTTCCAAAAGCCAACTTCTTCCTGTTTCTTCCCCGCCTTTGTAAATGGCACCACCATCCAACTAGTGGCTCAAGCCAAAACCCTCAAGTCAGCCTTAATGTCTCTGTGTGCCCCAAACCATGAGAAGGCTTGTTGGCTTCTTTCAAAATACACACTGAATCCCCCACTTTTTCCATCCCCACTGCAATCTCTCTGATCCAGGCACCCCCACCGTCATGCCTCCCCTGGACTATTACTGCAACATCTTCCCAGAGGTTTCCCAACTCCTCTCACTTGCCTACGAACCATCTCCACACAGTGGCTGGAGAGATCTTTAAAAATTAGCGAATATGATCACATTATAACCCCTTCTCCCAAACCTCTAAGGGTATCCATAACATGGAGAATCAAATCTGAACTCCCTACAGTGATCTTCCAGGCTTTTAAAGAGCAAGCCTGCCTGCCTCTGATATCACCTTGTCCCATGTCTCATCGCTCAATGCACCCTAGCCATGCTGTCCCCCTCCAAGCCACTCTCACCTCAAGGAAGGATATCCTTCCCCAAATCTTCACCTGGCTGGCTCCTTCTCGGTATTCAGGTCTTGACTCAAATGACAGCCTCTAGTCAGAGACTCGTTCCCTGACCACCACATCTAAAGACACTCTCCCCTAATACTTTACTCGGTTTTACTTCTATCAGAGCACTACTCATTGCTACTTGAAATTATCTGGTTTATTTTTATGTGTTTATTATTGGTTTCCTCCAACTAGAATACCAGCTCTTTTCACATTCTGAAGCTTTCATTATCTTTATTTATCTGCTTTCTTTTTTTCTCCTTTATTTGAATGTACCTTGCAGGAAGGCAGGGCCCTACCTAGTTCACAGCTCTATACCACTAGCTCTTAGCACAGTTCCAGGCATATAGTACATGCTTAATAATTATTTGTTGACTGAATAACTGAATGAATGAGTGAATGAATGAACTCAAAATGTGACCACGGAGTGCAGTTGGCTTGGAGAGAAAAGGAAACGTGGCATTAATCACCATTACCACGAATGCAGACTATCAACAAGAAGGATCTAGTCTGCACAGATTGGATCATACCTGGATTACTGCGTTTGGTTCTGGTTGCTGTGTTGCCACAAAGACTAGCAGTGTGGGGAGGAAAATGACCAAGTTGACACATGAGGGGAAACTTAGAAAACCAGAGGTATTCAGCTTATAGAAACAAGAAATCCTAGGAAGAATATTGTTGCCATCTTTTAATATAGAAAGAGCTATTGAGAGAAAGAAGGAGTAGACTTAGTTTATAGCCCTAAGGGCCGAATCCAGATCAATAGATATTAGTCTGATACAGACATATTTCAGTATAGGAAAGAAGTGGTCTTTTGACAGGGTCCATAACAAGGGAAGGGACTACTTTAAGATGGGGTGAGCTCCCGGTCTAAGAAAGTGTACAAGTGAATAACCACTTGGCAAGGATGCCGAGGAGGGATACAAGCAGCAAAAGATGGCCTCCAAGATCCCTTTCAAACTTGAGATGTCTGGGTTTCTAAGATATGTAGGGATACAGTCAAGAAAAAATTTCTGGAGAACAGTTCTGAAGGTACTTATTAGCTGTCCCATAGTAGAAAACATCACAGAACCAGGTCTACAAATGAAGCAGGGGAAAGATTAGTTGAGAGGGATCTTGTGGGCTTTAAGCCATCCCAGAAACACGCTGAACAGCTCCCTGGATTTGAAATCTGTTATCCACGTGTGATCATTGAGCATATGGGACTGCCAAATATTTTGACTATCCAAAAAGATGCCTCAATTTTCAGGAGAAGATAGCCAACACTATCACATAGTGGCTAAGATGGTCCTGGGTTTGCTTTCAGAAACTCTACCACCTCCTAACTATAGAGCCTCAGGCAAAGAAATTAACCCCTCCAAACCTGTTACCTTGTGTGCAAAAGGATTTCGTTTAAAAACAGGAGAGGGAGGAACTGAAACAAAAATGGCACACGTTTGATAATGAATAAAACTCAGTGACAGACACATAGACATCCACTATACTGTTCTATTTGATGCGTTTGAAAATTTGATTAATAAAAAGTAAAAAGAGAGGGAGTTTAAAATAGTACCTACCCTGTGTAATAACTGTAGGGCTTAAATAAATCTTCATCATCATCATTATCATCATCATCATTATCAGGAATTTTTACAAATCCTAGATATTACCTAGGAATGTTTAAATATCTCATTTAATCATCTCCAAAACCCCATAGTAATCATCTCCATTCAGCCGATGAGGAAACTGAAGCTCACATGAGTTAAATAAATCCCACAACTGGCACAGGGCTGAAATGTGATCTGCAACCAGAGTTATCTGACTCCACCATCACAGCTGCCTTTACTTCAAGAATAAGCTCATTGTGTTCTACTTGGTTGATATCTACACAATTATGATATCATGTATTCATCTAAGTCAGTGGTTTCCCAGCTCTTTTCTCAGTAGCAGAACCCTTTTTTCAAAGCAGCCTTTACTCAGCACTCCAATAAGTAAAACCCATAAAAGCAGAACAACAGCTCTGGCTGAAGTAGGGATTGGGGCCCAGCCACCAGGCCACTTGACTCCAGGGTGACCCCCGAAAGCACCCTAGGGTCTATGAGCATAATGTGAAAATCCTAGATTGAAGCCAACAACAACAAACCCAAACCCTGAGAATTATATTTATGGAAAGCCTCATTTGCATAACACAGCTTTCAGTCTCCCGTTTCCCATCACATTTGATCCTCATTATCAACTCTGAGGTGGACAAGGCAGGGCATATCATCTTCAATTTGCAGATGAGAAAATCAAGGCCAAATGGAGTTAAGCAATTGGCCAAAGGTGTACCCGTTTACTTTTCAGCCAAGTGCAGACTGGAAATAGAGTCTGTCTCCATTAATTTGGTGTGACCTGGCCAAGAGGGTGCCATCTACTGGAAATTGCCACTGACCCTGGTTCACAAAGTGGACAATCAGCTCCTTGGCCATTGACAGCCCGAGTACAGCCCCACAGACCCCCTGCCAAGGCCCTGTCCCAGAGCAGATGGCAATGGGGAGAGGGGCTCAGTGCCACTGGTGGACCAGACAGCATGATTTGGGGCAGTAGCCAGGCCATTCCCATCCTGGCCATGTCGTGCTGAGCAATTAATAGCCAAAGTGCCTTCCACCTTCCTCTGCAGCCCGAAAAGGGACAGCAGATAGTGCAGACCTGGGTAGCAGTTACATGTCGCCTTCCTTCTTAGCGCTTGCCTAGAAATTCCTGAAACCAGATGCAGCTGATAATTGTCTGAATGCGCCACCCCCTCCCCCGCGCCCCCGCCCCTCCAGAGCAGCTCTGAACTGAGCTGGAGCATGTGTTGGAACAGGCAACACTTAATTATCACTTAGTCTTTAATTAGCACTTAATTATTAACACTTAATCCATCTGTAAAATGGGGACACTAATACCTGTCTCACAGGTACTCTGGGAGGATTAATTAATGTTTGCAACCCACTTTGAAGATGCAAAGCATTGAACGAGTGCTCAACAGTGGCACTGATAACCACGGCATATTTACTTGCTTTCCTTAATGAGGTCCTTCCTGCCTCTCCTTGTGAATATCCAACCCCAACTATTTCTGACCAACTTTGCCCTGGCGGAGAATCATTTAGCTCTGTGTTTCCTAGACACAGGATTTCCCACCCAGGAAATGGGCTATTTCCAGCCATTTCCCCACACTTTAATTTTCTATTATGTCCTCTGAATATGTCAATGACTTCCCAGTAAATATTTTGATGTGCGCTCTTGCAGCAGCTTCTGTGGAGTCTGAATGGGACAGCTGCTCCCTATATTAGGGAATTCCAGATGTGGTTTAAAACCACCAGACTTATCTGTGCCAATGCCTAGCCTTTGGAGGTGGGAGGAGGCGAGAATATCTAGTTGCCCTCGGGGAAGTCATGGACACTTAACCCTTGGCTCTGGCTAGGGTGATTTTTCAAAGTCCTCAGATCCACATGCCTTTAGGATGAGAACTGTCCCCTTAGTGGGCTGGTGAAGAGGCAGCAGAAAGACAGCTCTGATTTGGCCTTTCACCCAGGTAACTTTATAGGTATTAACTGTCCTATAAAGATTCGTCAAAGAACTGAAGGCGGAGGGCGGGGGGGAGGTGATGGAGAAAACGTATCAAGTCTTTAGGGTTTAACTAGACTGAACAATGGGCCAAAACCTCCCCCTAGACGGTCAGACCACCTCTCCTCCTTCCTCCCTTGGTGCCAGCCACGTGGGAGGACACTCACTCTTCTTGGGAGCTGAGCCTCTTGTCTCTTGGAGTTCCAGCCATGGAGGTAGAGAGCTGCTCCTTTGGGGTCCTGGGCTGCAAGGCCTCGGGCAGGCCCTGTACTCTCTTCCAGATTTCATGGCAAGTCTTGTCTAAGCTGTCTTGGGGTGTGTCCTGGTGGATCCAGATGTATCTGGGGAATGGGCCCAGGGCGGAGGGGCGCTTGGCCACCAGGGCAGTGGAGGACAAAGGAAGCCCATTCCCACTGGCCATCCTCCTCCTTTCTTTCCGGAAGCCCCTTTGTCCACCCAGGGCTCGAAGACAGGGCGACCATCCACCACCACCCTTCATTCACCAGAAAGGGAGATGAGGATGGGACAGAAACAGGTCAGTTCTGACTGACTATTGCTCCAGCAAGGCGACTATGTTCAGAGGACTCCGATTTGTGTGGGAGTGGTGGATGGAGATCAGGTTCTTTTTGGGGAGGGGGAGCTGATTTTGATTTATTTTTTTGTGTTCGTTCCTGACTTTTGCTCCCCTCCCCCTCTCCCTGAGAAGAAAATATTTAAAAGTCAACAAAAACCAGTAGCTTAGTAACCTTGGAATCCCCCTGAGCTCAGGAACCAGGCGCCTGGGCGGGCAGAATGACATCTGGGAATAGCTGGAGGGGGAGGACTGGCTCTCCCCACAGTCCCTGGCACGCCCCCGTTGCTGACACGCCCTTGACACCTTGTGGCGCCTGGGGCTCAGCCCATTCTCGCCTGCTAAGCCTCACAGATGACTGCGTGAGGGCCCGGCACTGTGCTAGGCACCGTAGGGACAGGAGCCCGCCATCAGGCTCTCACTTGGGCCTTCCCAGGGACCCCGGCGAACCCGAGGGCCAACGGCCCTGCCCTGGCCGGCTCAGCTCCACTCCCCTCTCCTGGTCGCCTCTTCAGCGCCCTGCAGGAATACGCCCGTTGTCCAGCGCCCGCAGACCACCCGGAGCCGAAGCCCCAAACAGACACCTGTCACGCCCCTCGGCCAGGCTGCGAACCAGGCCCGAGAAGGGTCCCCACGGCTGAAAAGGGCGCTGTCTCAGCGGGGCGGCTTGGGCCGATGGCTCTCACACCCTTGTGAGAGTGTGGCTTGCCGGTGGCTCTCACACCCTTCCCGCTCAGCGCTGAATTCCTCCGTAGGTTTCAAACGCAACGGCTCGGTGCGCGGGACACCCCGGGTTCGGTGTGCCAGGCCCTCCCGTGGGAGGGGGGTGGGGTGGTTCCGGGAGGACGCGGAAGAGCTCTCCCCTCCTTAAAATCAGGGGCACCGCACCCCTGCCCGCTGCCGCTCGCAAAAACCTCAGTGCCTGCCAGGGGCCTAGCCCCTCCGTTGCCTGGTTTTACCCCTAACTGCCATTTTATTAAGCACTTACCTTGTTCCAAGCACTAGAGTTTCTGTGTTGTCATATTCAATCCAAACACGCTCAGGAAGTTAGTGCCATTGTTTCTTAACGTCCTACATTTAAGGAAACCGAGTCCTAAAGCCGTAAAGGGGTGTGTCCGAGCCCCGCTAGGAAGCTGGGAGCTGGAATTCAAATCCAGACCCCCCAGGCCGAATCTCGCGCTCTCAGAAGCTGAGATAGACCGCTCCGCTCTTGCACTGGATTCAGGAATCCCGGGGGTGAGTGGGCTGCGGACAGGTGGGAGTGGGGATCCGGGAGCGAAGGTGCAGAGAGAAGGGCTAAGTTAGCTGTTGGCTGTTCAGAGAGCGCCTCCTCTCACCGAAGGGGCTTCTTAAACTCAGAACTGACACGGAACCTCTGCCTGCCAGGGATTTCTGATCCCAGGAGCCAGTGGTTGTGCCTCCAGCATTTCCCCAGAAAAGGACGAGCAAGAAAGCAGGAAGGAAGAATGGATGTGACTAGCGGAGACGGCAGCCTGTAGATGGAGAGTCGAATCCTGACACTGCCACTTCCTAGCTGTGTGATCTTACCAACTTTCCTCACTTCTCCAGTCCTCATTCATTCATTTCCCAAATATTGATGGAGCCCTTCCTCTGTGTCAGGTGAGGTGCTGGGCACTGAGGAAGACTGAAGGTAAACAAAACTGGCCTTGTCCCTGCTCTCATGGAGCCTATATACTAGTGGAAGGAGACAGATCACAAACTCACAAAGCAAGTTAAATAAGCAGTAATTACAGATGAAATAAGGGCTCTGATGGAAATTCACCAACAAAGTGAGGAAATGGGGGAGGGAATAGTGGCATCATTAGATGGTGGTCCAGGTAGTCCTCTTTGAGGAGTTAAGGTAACATTTGAGATGAAACAGAAGGATGAGAAGGCATTATTTTCTGTAAAATGGTGTAAATAAACTATTATAAAGATCACATTTCTGGCACATAGTAGGCACTAAATAAATATGAATTTATGGTATACTGTTTGAAAGATGCCTGGCATGCAGTAGGTGCCCAGTTCACAACCTTACTCTTTACAGGGAGCCTAAGTTCCTAGAAATGGTGACTATATTTTGAAATCCAAGCTTCATTCCCCTTTGATTTTCATTATAAAACTGAAGATGTGCTCCTTTGGGGAAAATTCCGAGGATCTAGACTGAATAAAATTATACTTAAGAATGTAGAAAACCTTTTAAAATAGTGTATTTAAAGGAAAAGTGATCATTTCTGATGAAATATTAATAGTTCTGAAAATGTCACTCAGTGTTTGTGCTGCTTGGCATTTGGTTGGCTAAAACCCATGCTTAGAGCAGAACGCCAATGACCCTCCACGGCCCAGGGTACAGGTTTCTGGAAAGTTAGCCAGCTCACTATAACATACAGCGGAAGGAGGGTACAAAGATAAAGGGCATGTGTTTTAGAGCACACAGAGGAGGTTTCTAGAAGATCCTGTAAAAAACAAGCTACTTAGAAACATTATAAAGATAAAATCAGTATAGGAACTACTAGCCACATGCGGCTACTTATTTTTAATTTTGTTTTAATGTAAATTAAAATTTTAGTTTCTTAATTACATTAGCCACATTTCAAGTGCCACATGTGGCTTGTGGCTACCATACTGGACAGCACAGAGAACATTTTCATTATCCCAGACCAAACAGACTATAGAACCAGACTACGTGGGTTCAAATTCTGAGTTTATGTTGTCTGGCAAGGCAGGGTTAGGCAAGTTAGTCTGTGCCTTTGTGCATTAGTTTGCTAGGGCCACCACAAAAAGGTACTACAGACTGGGTGGCTTAAACAACAGAGATTTATTTCCTCACAGTTCTGGAGACTAGAAGTCCGAGATCAAAGTCAGCAGGGCTGGTTCCTTCTGAGGCCTCTCTCAGCTGGTAGATGCTGTCTTCTCCCTGTCTTCACATAGTCTTCTCTCTGTGCGTGTCTGTGTCCCAATCTCCTCTTCTTATAGGACAACAGTCGCATTGCATTAGGGCCCACCCTGATGACCTCATTTTACCTTTATAACCACTCTTTAAAAGCCCTGTCTCCAAGTAGTCACATCCTAAGGTACTAGGGGTTAGGACGACAGCTTATAAATTTTGGGTGGAGGACACCACTCAGCTCATAACACTTGGTGTCCTCATCTGTAAAATGGGATGATAATTAAAATAACATCTGTTCTGTAGAATTATTATAGATGTTTCATTACTAAGTAATTACTTAACACGCGGAAAGTCCCTAGAACAACACCTCGCATGTAAGGGACACATAAAAGTGCTGTATATTAGTTTTCTTGTTGATTACATTGAAATGTGTGCCGCTGGAGGTTTTTTTTTTTTAAGATTTTTTTTGATTAGTTTCAAGTATACAGTACATTGATTAGACATTTGTATAGTTTATGAAATGATCCCCCTGATTACTCTATCTTCCCTCTGGCTCTTCACATAACCATTACATTACTGCTGACTATGGTCCCTATGCTGTGCTCCCATCTCCGTGACCATTTATCAACTACTAACTTGTACTTCTTTAACCTTTCACCTCTTTCTCCTAGCCTCCCCCCACCCGCTCCCCTCTGGCCATCACCAGATTGTCCTCTATATTTGTGAGTCTGTTTTCGATTAGTCTGTTCTTTTTGTTCCGTAGATTCCTCATATTAGTGAAATCATATGGCATTTATCTTTCGGTCTAACTTATTTCGCTCAGCATAACTTCTAGTTCCATCTATGTCATTGAATGGTGGGATTTCTTTTTTTTTTTTTTATCACTGAGTCATATTCTATTGTATGTATGAACCATAACTTCTTTATTCAATCATCTCTTGGTGGACATTTAGGTTCCATATCTTGGCTATTATAAATAGTGTTGCATAGAGTTTTTAACTAACAGATTTTGTGGTATGGGTAGGAAGAATTAGCTGTACTAGGAAATTGCTCTGTGATGGAGGAATAGACTCAAATCATCAACTAAGCCTTTCCATGGACATCTACCATGGGCCAGGATTGTGCAAGCTGCAAGGCTAAGAGATGAATAAGACTTAGCCTAGACATCATCGCAGGCTAGCGAGGAGAGCAAAGCATTCCATAGGTGCCTGGTATACAGCGGGTATGGGGAAAACTGAGCTTAGTCCAATCTCCATTCAACGTAGTTATGCACCTCCAGCACATATATATCTATGTGCCCAGTACTATTCAAGCAGCTAAAGACAGAATAGTGAAGAAGATAGGCCTATTCCCTGTTCTTTTCAGAGCTCCAAGTGAAACATTGAGTGGTCATGGGCACTATTTCAGCTATGAATTATTTTTAGTTTGGAAAAATTCTTAAATTACCCCTTACTACCCCTATTATTCTGGGCAGTTTGCTCATCTGTGAAATAGGAATAATAAAATACTGACCTCATAGAGTTGTTTTGTGACAGCTGAGATAATACATATACTGTGTTTAGAACAGTCTGGCACATGCTCTGTTCCCAATGAATGCCAACTATCATTATTTAGGATTCTGAGATTCTTGCTTTTCTATATGGAATCTGGAAAGCCTCAGGAGGAGGCAGTTCTCCCTACCTATTCTCCAGCTGAAGCCTCTACTCACCTGGCTTCTATCACTGACACAAAAATGGCTAGGTTGTAGAATTCAGAAAAGGGAGCAGGGCATGGGGCTCTTTCAAGAGCTTCATAAGTCCTAAGCCAGCTTACTCTTGTAGGCCCTATCTTTCATCTAACATATTTAAAATACATCCATCTCCCACCATAAATAAACTTTTCAGCTGTAAAGGAAAATCAAAAGAATTTTGTCATTTTGCTTTTGGAAAATTTTGGTCATGAATAATTTAATTTAGGGACTACTATGATTTCTTACCAATCTTGGTGCCTACATGAGAAACCTTGCACAGTGAGAAAACCCCAGCCTACAAATTGTCAT